GAGACTGGGGTAATCTGGATGGCTGTACCGGAAATAGTGTGATTGGCTCAGGAGAGAGCAGAGTTTAGGGCTGTTGTACATAGGGTAGCTATGAGTCACAACACAGGTTGTTGATGAGTCTTCCTCCAATACTGATGACACATTCTTCCTCATATAGTCCTGCTTCTTGAATTATTTGTTCAGCATACACATTGAAAAGGTATGGAGAAAGTATATAAGCCTGACACACACTTTTCCTGATTTTAAACCATGCAGTGCTCGCTTGTTCTGTCTGGATAACAAGCTTCATTTTTGGTCTCGGTCTAGGTTTTCCATGAGCACAATTAAGTGTTCTGGGGTTAAATATTAGCCATAATTTTTTATGATCCACACAATCAAATGCCTTTGCATAGTCAATAAAACACAAGCCAACATCTTCTTGGTATTCTCTAGTTTTAGCCATAACTCATCTGACATTGCCAGTGTTATCTTTCATTCCAGGGCCTATTTTGTGCTACCTGCTCTCTGTCATTATACTATTCTAGCCATTTTTGAACAATCTTCAGCAAGATTTTACTTACACTTGAGATTAATAATATTGCTCGATGATTTCCACACTTTGTTGGATCACTTTTCTTTGGAAGGAAAACAAATAAGGATCCCGTCTAGTCAGTTGACCAAGTAGCTGTCCTCAAAATTTCTTGGTGGAGGCTAGTGAGCTCGCCTAGGGTTGCATCTGTTTGTTCTAACACCTCAATGAGGACTTCATTGATTCCTGGAGCTTTCTTTTTCTCTAGTGCTTTCAGTGCAGCTTGAAGTTTTGGTACTTGATCATATGCTACATCCCAAAACGGATCAGTGTCAACCAATTCTTTTTGGTAGGGTGATGTGTATTTTTTCTATTTTCTTTTGATGCTTCCTACATCAATGAATATTTTGCCCACAGAATCTTTTAACATTGCAACATTATTATTAATGGATTATTATGTTAAAGATGTTTTTACCAGTACCATGCTGTTTTCAAATGGCAAACAGTCACATGAAGAAATGCTCCACATCACTGGCAATAAGAGAGATGCAAATCAAAACCACAATGAGGTACCATCTCACTCCAGTAAGAGTGGCAAAGTTTAAATAGGGCAGCAAGCAATAGATGTTGGAGAGAATGTGGTAAGAAAGGATCTCTTATACACTGTAGGTGGATTTGTAAAATGGTGCAACCCTTCTGCAGGAGAGTTTGGCGCTTCCTCAAAAAGCTGAACAAAGAATCTCCATATGACCCAGCTAATCCACTACTTGGAATATACCCTGAGAATATGAAAACTGAGGCTCAATCTGAGATTTGTACACCAATGTTCATAGCAGCATTATTCACCATCTCAAGGACATGGAAACAGCCCAAATGTCCAACCACAAACAAATAGTTTGAGAAATTATGGTACATTCACACAATGGAATACTATGCAGCACGCAGGAACAATAACTTTGTAAATTATTACCTAACTTGGGAGGGACTGGAGAGCATTATGCTGAGTGAACTAACTCAGTCTCATAAGGACAAATATTGTATAAAACCATTATTGTAGAATGAGTAAACGGATTCAGGATGGTTGGGAGAGGCTGTAAGCAGAGGGATGTGGATGTGCAGGGGGAGGAGGGGATTAATCATTGGGTTGTACAATTTGATGGGTGGGGAAAATTGAAAGAATTTGTTTAAATTTGTATTTGAATTTTGTAAATAAATTAGTAGAAAAAAGATGTTTTTAGAATATCTGGAAGTATTTCTTTAATGCATAAAAATGTATTTTACACACACACACACACACACACTTGACTAACTTACTTGGTCAAATGTGCTTAAAGTCTGATTTAGGAATGGAACTGTAATCCAGGGCTTCCTATACATAGTTCAAAATGGCTGTGTCACTTAAACCTTTAAAGATGGTAAATTCCCTATGCAAATAATGTACCAAACCTAAAACCAAACCTACTGCCATCAAGTCAATCTCCACTCAACTCACAGTTAGCCTACAGTAGTGGTTCTGAGGCTGTAAATCTTTATGAGAGGAGACTGCTCCCTCGTTGGTAGATATAAGTCACCAACTTTTTGCTTAGTAGCCTGACATGCTACCAGTGCTAGAAAATAAAAACATTTGATAGTTCATTATTTTATAATTTCAGAATATTTAATGGTATTAAAAAATAAACACATTAAAATATATTAGACTAGAATGTATACTCATGCAGTGGACTGTAAGATGAAGGAGGGAGGTGAATAGAGAAATATAAATGTCACATAAAGATGTACTTCCTCCTACTTCTCTACATTCCAGAAATAAAAGGTGCAATCTACACCCCCCATGTCAATCAAATTTCTTAGTTTCTCGGAAAGAAATATAGAGAACTTTCCAAGTTTTTATGCTAATCTTTAGAATGAAACAAAAATTGATATATAATATTGGTCTGTGGTTAACTGATAAACAGTAGGATTTTATGCCAGCAATAGAAAGGACACAAAAACATTAAATAAAGGCATGGCACAAAGACATCACTAGTAAAACAAAAAAAGATCCATTTACTGTTATTTTAAATCAGTAGTTTTATTATAATGCAAACTGACACACAATTAGAGAAGGAATGTCCTGACATTTTTCTGAGCATTTCATGGAAAGCAAATGTAACAGTCCAGACAGTAGTCATCCACACCTTTTTCAAACACAAACTTAAATACACATGAATGTGATAACTCAGGAAAGCAAAGTTTTGTTACTCTTGTCTATAAAATTTCAATCTCAGAAAATAGTTATTGAGAAATGGAATGAGAAGGGAAATGGTTCCTTCATGATATCCCATATATTGTATAGTCTTCCCCCTTGACCTTGTAGATGACTTTTAATGAAGCTGATTAATTCTAATAATTAGTCATTATTAGATAACTAAAAATGAGTTAAAACAGCTATCTGAGCTCTAGTTAATTATATATATAAGGCTGACTTTTACATATCAATATAACTGAAAAGTAAAGATAAATTACAAAAATTAACCTAAAACATACAAAGACAAGAAGAAAATAGCTGAATGTATTAAAATGAATGCTCTTTTCACAAAACTCATTTAAAAGGTTACAATTACCATAAACATTTTAACTCCATTAAAGATCACTGGCAAAGGATTGCTGCTGGATCTGCCTTTCCACAGGCTTGGGGAAAACCAACACAATGTGTGAAAAGATTTAGTATCCCGGGTCAAACAGACATCAGGCTGAGGTTATATAGGACTTTTTTTTTCTTAATCTTTGTACAAATCACCATGAAAATTTAAGATTTTCCCTCTTTCAGCAATCACTATGGCTGTCAGATGTTTTAATCTCTTTAGTGCCATAACATTAAAAAAAAAAAAAAAACCACCAAAAAACAACCACTTTAGGAAAGAAACATTAAAATGGCATTTTGAATAAATTTAACATATATTACATAACTTAGAGACAACAAATGAAAAGGCCCATGCATAATTCTAGTATTTCATATAGAAAAGCGCTGCAGGAGAAAACATTTTAAAAACATTAAAACTTAGATGAATATAAATATCTTTTTGGTTAATCTGTGCTATCTCATATAGAAATTCTGTCAAATAATCTATTAGATTTTCATGTCTGATTGTATTAGTAGAAGAATACCTATATTCACACACACACACACACGTGTGTGTGTGTGTGTGTATTTAATTCAGATCATGAGAATTTGCTTTAAATTCATACATCTAAAATTTGTACTTCTAAAAGAAATACATTGGTCTTTAATTGGTTATTTCTCAGACAAACCAATCAGAGCAGTATCAACAGTGGCAGAGGACCAAATAGCTGCTCTTTATATTCATTAACCTATTAGTCAATGGTTTATGTTTTAGATATGTAATAGCCTCAAAATGGAATATAAACACAATTCTGGCTTTGAAAAGAAGTACCTTGGATTCCTTTATGTTCAGTCTTACAAATGTCTATTTCTTGCCTCTACATTTATCAAGCAGCAGGAGACCATTTTCTAGTGACAATATTTTATTTCACTGACATTACCTTCTAATCAAAGGAGTCAGTTGGCATTCACTTAACTGTTTTGTATGAGGGAAGGAACACAGCATTATCTCTATTTGTTATCACTCTTTAAGATCACAGTGAGTTGTGTGTTTTAAAAGAATTTACTACTGAAGTAAGGCAGAAGTAAAGTTGGCATTTAAGAAATTAAAAAGAGAAAATCTCCTAGGAGAACAACACAGAATGATTTTGTGATGTCTATCCAAGTTCTCTGAAGTAACTAAGAAAGAGATACCAGAATGTCCACACTGGGCATCTTCATTGTCATTCAAACAATAGATACAGACAAAAGTCATCAATATTCTTCATTTAGAAAGGATGCAATTCACAAAAATGACATTTTACTTTTCACTTTTTCTTTCACATTCCCACAAACAATTCTTAACATACTGTAAATCATACCAAGTTGTTTACTATAGCACAGTTAGCTGGTTTTGAATACAACAATCTCAAAGTACAGGAAATCCATGATAAATGATAGCAAGAAATGTTTAATAGCATTACTCAAATATTTTAAAAGAAAAGTTTTCCATAGCCAAAATAGAACTACTAAAATGTAGTGTTCTATAATCTCAGAACTGTAGGCTGCAAGCTTTATAAATCAAAGGTGAAAGTTATCCATATATAAACAAAGCTTCTTTTTATCAATTTCAATCTTGTTTAAAACTTTGGATATTTCAATCTTCAAATTTCACAATGTAAGGTAAGGTTGAGTTTATCAGATGTGAAGAAAATGTCTTAAGTCCACGATGTACTGTAGCAGTAAGGAAACAAATAAATCAAATATTTACAGGTTGGCCAGAATACCTTTTCTTAAAAAATATATATATATCAGCTAAGGTTTTTCTTCTTTTACTCTGGTTGTAAAAACAGAACAAAAGCATTTTCCTCACTTGTCTCTCCACTCAGCCTTGAAGTTGGGGGGCTGGTCTTAGGTCAATGGGCGTGGCGGTCTTTTTGGAGGTGGTGGTGGCATAAGCTCTGTGTCAGGATCTAGATGATGTTTTTGCTTTTGTCCTTGAGAGGCTGCTACACATCTGTCAATGAACTCAAACAACATTTCCTTGGTGACAGGGTTTGAAATGCTGTTGCACACAGCTGCAGACAAAGAGAGATATGTGTCTCACATGAAAGTTAAGTAGGCTGACTTACCCCAAACATATAAAATTGTGGAAAGGTTTACAAACTCAATAAACCGATATTTGAGTGACATGCTTCTTAGCTAAACTAGCCTCTTTCTCTCCATGCTTTTCACATAAATGTTTTTCTAGAAGACACTTGCACTTTAAAATGTTTGAGCATGTCTTCACTATGGTTTTTCTATCCTTTCAAACAGTTCTTAGAGAGTTCTAATCTAACACAGTACATTATGTATAATCCAAGCTCAACTGAAACTTCTACTGGAAATGTGTGCTTCATTCTGTTTTTCTCTAGGAAAGAAGTCCACTCTCTTAAACATATAGTAGGTGAGTGCCAGACACAATTCTCATTGAACTGGAAAGTTTCACTGTAGCTGGCAGATATTATTTTACTATAACTTATCTAGAATAAGATATTAGCATAAGATTACCTAATATATAATAAAGCATCTTCTCTTAAGTGATCAACTGTTTAATACCAGCCCTTTTAATTTATTTATTTAGAATAAGAGCCACTGGCTTAATTAGCACTACTTTTTTAAATCAACACTACTTGTCTGAACAAGGTGGTGAAGGAATTAGGAAAGATCCAGTGGGGACCTGAAAAAGAGGGGCTGATAGTGGGTACAGATCAATGGTGAATGGTTTTATACAAAAATAACATATAGGAATGAAGGAATGTGTGAAACACAATGTCTATGAATGAAAGACAATACATAAGAATTTTATATGCAAACCAATATATAATTAAAAATATGTAAACAAAGAGAACAATAGTAGCTTTTAAATTGTAAAACTCACACTGGTAATTTCTATATTTGCTTATAAGCTTATCATATAATCATCATTTAGTGAGTACTCAGAAAGTACACAGTTCTATTAACCTTTGTATTTGCTTCTGTAACTGCTTTTTTTCTACTCCACTAACTAGGAAATCCAGACAAACAACTGCTACTACAAGTGGTTTGACATATAGTTCAAATAATTTGTGTTGGCCCCATCAAAGACTCTGAATTACCCTTTCCTCTACTCATCCCACCCTCTACCCAACAAATTGTGCGATCCAGTGTGAAAAATAATGTATATGAACTTTGTAAGTAAACCAGTATAAAATAAAAAAAAAAAGAATAAGAAACAAAAACAAAACAAAAACCCCCAAAACCCCTTAATTCCCACAGCATTTACCCATTTTCCTAACGAAAACTCTGAAGACCAGCTTGAGCAGATTTTTTTTTTTATTTTGTTCTCCACTGTAAAGCTATTCATAGGAGCTGGAAATTACATTTTCTCCTGCTATTTTGTCTAACACTATTAGCAAACAATGAGTTTTACAGTTTTGAATAGATCTAAAATTATCATGGCTTTTGTTGTTACAAAATATTCAACTTGTAAACCCCTCTGCTGAGTGCCTAGGCCCAAGCACACTAGTCTAGAGAGGAGGGTCAGTGAGGTACTGGACTTGAACAGGGCACAGATGAGATACACAACCTTTCCATCAAACAAGTGTGATGACTGAGTGACTATATGCCCCATCAAGTACGTAAACAGCACCTGTTGTTTCTGATACTCTAGCTTCCTTTATTTTTAAAAAGGGGGGGGGAGAGAAACACTGATAAGTTGTCATACTCACCCATGGCAGTGTTGTAGGCATTAGGAAAACTTTTGTCTGTTCTCTGCCTCATGAAGACCCAGCTGTTATTCTCAAATTTGCATTCTATAATTTTATTGTCATATTGTTTTAGCTCTTTTGTCACCTGTTTTATAAGAGTTGAGAAGAATATTTAAATCACTGAAAGGCTCTGTGCTTCTGGTATGTTAAAGACAACCCACTGCTGTAGAGTTGATTACAATTCATAGCAACACTTTAGGAAATGCCAAAACACTAAAGTAATTTTTCATGCAAACTCTTATCATCTTAAAGGGTCTAATCAAGCCTAAAGATATGGTGTGCATTCTAATCAAGCCTAAAGATATGGTTCACATGCTCATTTTTCAGACACTTTATAAATAGTCTTGAAAAATGGCTGTCAATATAAAGCTCTTAAAAGAATCTGAGCATAAACCAGTAACTTCTGGGCCAAATGCAAATATGTTACTACAAGGATAAATGCCTTCAATATTGTCTGTGTCCTCTACGGCTTTCAGAATTGAGCATGCCGTTTAGGTTTCACCAACTTTCAGAAAGGTCTTGCCACCCAAACTCTATGCCAAACTCTGAGAAATCACTTTACTAGTTAAAAAGAAATTACATATAAAAGTAAACACAAAGATCAAATCAAGGTATGTATGTCTGAAATATTTTGCTTTTCAAGCAGTGACAATTACCCAAAAATATATTCTTTAGATTACTTTTCCATCTCTGAATTAATAGGAATTTTGAGATAAAGCTAATTTTAACCTTAACTTTAAGCGTATTTTTGACTACTCCACGTCAGACGATTTGAATATGGATTACAAAAACTCTATCAAAGCTAGTAAGTATCCATGGTAACTAGAGAATCTTTTAAAAGATATTTCATCAGACTATGAAATAGTTTTCATAAATAGTAACCTAAACTTATCTTTGCAGTTTTCAAATCAAATGCCAGTCATGATAATATTTTAATTCTGTCCTCATCTTTCACAGCTAACAAGTTTTCTTCACAATATAGTAGATTAATAGCATTTAACTTCATTAGCATTCTTTAAAATGCTCTCATTTTTCTACAAATTTATTCACTAATACCTAGGAAGATGTTGAAGGGAAGTAAAGTATTTAATGACGCTTTCAATTCACAGATTAGGCAAGTGTCTGTCTTGACAAAAATATACCAGACTGTATTCCTTTTCCCTTAATGAGTAATACACGTTACTGGAATATTTGCATGCTCACTAACTCCAAAAAGTTCAGTATATTCAGTGACTACAGAACTAGGCCTACCCATAAAACTGATGTTTTACTTAGTACGCCTGCTCAATTTTCTTCTCAAATATACATTACCTCAGTCACAAATATTCCCTTCCTTCCTAGGGATTTTAGTTTTGATACACTATCTTTACCAAGTATTAAGCAATCAACATTTAATTTATATCATCTGATGACCTAATGGTAAGGAGGTGTGCCAGCTCTATGGGGAAAAGATGAACAATTTCCTTTTGTATGATTTACTGCCTCTGAAAATCTGCTGGGTAATTAGCTATATATATCAGATGTGGTAATTGGTTCCAACTTGATGGTGTATAAGAAGAAGTAAGTCTATAGTGGATTTTTTAAAAAAATCTTTTCTACTGAACATCTATATGCAGAACAGATCATTCAGGAGGTTGGAGTTTATGAGTAGGAATGTGGCATCAGGATCAGAGGAAGACTCATCAACAACCTGAGTTATGTAGATAACAGGAACTTGTTTGCCAAATCTGAGGAGGACTTGAAGCACTTGCTGCAGAAGGTCAAGGACTTCAATCTTCAATATGATTGAAGCTCAACATCAAGAAAATTCTCACCATCCCTAAGAAACCATAACCACCACCCAAGCAGATAAATGCACACCCATGTTTACTGCAGCTTTGTGCACAATCACAAAGAGTTGGAAACAACCCAAGTGCCCATCAACAAATGAACAGATAGAGAAGCTCTGGTATATTTACACAATAGAATACTATGCTGCATTAAAAAACAAGGAACTCATGAAATATTATACAAAATGGATGACCCTGGAGGACATTATTCTGAGTGAAATATGTCAGTCACAAAAGGACAAATATTGCATAGTGCCACTGGTGTAAAATGGGACAGCCAGCAGGGTTGAGGGGAAATAATATATAATGCATTAAAATAGATGAAGAAGAGAACTGTTCAAAAGGGATATATGATTATGATTAGGTATTATTTGTCATGACAGGAGCCCACAATGAAGGCTGCATTGTGGACTGGACTTGGGGGGAGGGATTATATAACAATGAAATAATTTTTCTTTTACTTTTCAAAGAGAAGAACAAATTGGGAGGGGGAAGGGGGGGGAAAGCGCAACAATGAATTAATGGAAATCCAAAGTAACTGTAAACTTTCATTAAAATTAAAGAAAAAGAAAATTCTCACCACCAGGCCAATTGGCAGCGCCATGATAGATGAAAAAAAGAGACTGAGGTTGTTAACAATTTCTTCTTGCTGAGCTCCACAATCGACATTCTTAGGACCAGAAGTCAGGATATCAAAAGAAAAGGAAAGCTTGCTATCAAGGATTTTTGAGAGTGCTAAAGAACATGAACCCAATCCAGGTCATCGTTTTCTCAACTGCTTGCTATCCATCCAAGAGCTGGACAAGCAAGACAGAAGAATAGATGCCCTTGAGTTATGGTGTTGGAGAAGAGTACTGAACATACCATAGACTGCTAAGAGAATAAACAGGTCTGTCCTGGTTGGTTGCTGGAAGTAACCATTTTGATACTTTATCTCACATACTGTGGATACGTTGCCAGGAGGGACCAGTTTGTGGAGGAGGACATCATACTTGGGAGGGTGGGGGGTCAGGACAGGAGAGGAAGACACCCGATGAGATAGACTGACTCAGTGACTGTGACAATGGGGTCAAGGTGTTAGAGACACCGAGATAGGGCAGGGTTCAGAGCTAGTGTTCATAGCGTTGCTGAGTCAACTCAAAGATACAGAACAACAACAATAATATTGAGTATATGTCTATGTTATTTGAATCCATGGATACCTTGGGGTTAAAGGACAGTCAAGTGAAAGTGGGTGTGGAAACTCTGAAGCTTTTAAATGAATAGTCCACAACTAATACCTGGATGAGGGGCCCACAGCAAAGGCTGGTTAACATCTCAATTGCTCCACATGTACCACTACCCTGTTTTATTTTTTTACAGATTTTTAAAAAAAAATTTTAATTTCATGGTAGAATTATAGGAAGCTGCACTCTAGTGGCCTAGTGGTAAGGAGTTGTGCTGCCATCCCAAAGGCACAAAATTCTAATCCACCAGCTTCTACGTGGGAGAAAGATGGGTAATCTCCTCCAGTGTGACTTACCACATCCGGAAACCAGCTAACTGGGTAGCTATGAGACAGCTGACTCAATGGTACACAACATTACAGTAAAAAATGGTTTCTTTATAAAGTATATTCATCTACTGGAGAAAGTGAATGTGACAAAGTAACACAAGCCAGACCTACTGCTTATTTTTTTTAAAAAAAGGTCCTCTAGTAGAAGCTATTGATGTTGATACCTCTATGATTAAGAATGACTGTCGCTGGGGCCTAGTGATAAGAAACTGCACTGCAATGTTAAAGATATGTTCAAATCCACCAGATACTCCGCAGCAGGAGGATCAGCAATATCTTCCTGTGTGATTAACTGCCTCTGAAAACTTGCTGGAGAGTCAGCTATGGGTTGGTCCTCATTAGAAGGTACACAACAGCAATAACAATTGTGTAAATAACACATTTTGCATTTGCCAGGTTAGAAACAGTGATAGGAGGGTTTCTCCATGAATGGCAGCGTCTTTTAGGCATTCAGGTAGCAATCTGATTAACCAAATAAGGCAATTTAAAAGGAAAGCCATTAGAAACCTTACCTATCTAAAAGGTCATCACAGAAAGCCAGACCTCCAGGACACAAAATTGACACTAAAACCACTAATAAAATTAGTTTTTATTAAGTCTTCATATAAGATCACTGACTGACAACAGGCTAAAATCTGTTGCCATTATGTCAATTCCGATAAAAACAGCACTAATTTCTCCCTCTTGTTTTCAAGGCTGTTATGTTTACAAAAGCAAACTATGGAATCTTCCTCACGAAGAAAAGCTGTGGATTCAAATAGCCAGTCTTTTGGTTTAAACCTGAATGTGTGACCACTGGACTACCAGCACTCCTCAAACATGTGAGTACTGGGTATTGGTAACAGGGGAACATAAAAGGGATTTTTCTGTTTTCTCTGTGCTTTGCTATATTGTCTATAATAAACATGTCCAATTTTAATAGTCTTTAATAAAAATAAAAATATACTCACAAACTCCTAAATTATACTCCCTAAAAGGTGATAAATATTAGGATTTGGGTTTTTGTTTGTTTTTTTAGAAGTATACATAAAAAAGGTAAGAAGGTGAATACTGATATGGGAAATAACAGCCCTAAGACAAGGTCAGGTCCACAATTCCTAAGTGTGCTCTCAGGTGCTGGGGTTTTGTAACAAACGTGTAAGGCACAACAGAATAGTTTCAATTTCTTAGGGAAACACAGTGACATCTGTTGGATGCTGTGCAAGCTATTAGTTAAATGGAGCTCAGCATTTCAATAGTAGATTCCATCACAACACATCTTGGCTGAGTTTTTGGTTGTTGTTGTTGTTATGTGCCGTCGAGTCGCTTGCGACTCATAGGGACCCTATGTACAACAGCCCTAAACTCTGCTCTGTCATGTGCCGAACGCACTGTCTCCGACACATCCATCCCGATTATTCCAGTCACTATATCAATCCAGCTCATAGAGGGCCTCCCCCTCCTGGGCTGTCCCTCCACCCTACCAAGCATGATGTCCCTCTCCAAGGTCCTCTTCCTCCTTACAACATGTCCAAAGTATGTTAGACGAAGCCTCAGAATCCTTGCCTCCAAGGAGCCGCCTGGAATAACCCTCTCCAGGGTGAACCTGTTTGTTTATCTAACAGTTGATGGTACCCTCAATACTCTTCTCCAGCACCACAGCTCAAAGTAATCAATTCTCCTTCTATCCTCCCTAATTATTGTCCAACTCTCTGATGCATA